TTCTGTGGCGGAACTCAACTGAGTTCTCTGTAACCATTACGGCCGTCCAGTGCTTTCTGCATTCTGTTGAGGTCTCTATCAGATTCGATGAATTAATTAAATATATATATATATATTTATATATTCATATATTATAAAGTAACTGATCTAAAATATGGTTTCTTCGCTACACAGAAATTACCATGTTTCAAAAACCGAAGCTAAAAACTTCAAATTTAAATATATAATTAAATTAAAAGCATTAGTTCTGTTTCATCCTCATGCGAATTTTGGAATAACTTATTTTTAAATTTACTGAGTTTTAAACGTACATACAATTCATAATTTTATGTTTCCAAGGCTACAGAAAAATGCAATCATTTAGACAGGGGAGGTAGCGTGTTCATTTTTATTATTATTGTATCAATTATGAGTTACGTTCGAAAAAGTGGCTAAGTCTAGGTAGGTTAGGGGTGCATTTTTCAACGAATTTTGACATCCGTTCAACGCATGTCGTCTGCGTTTTTTATCAACGAGAAAAAGGTTTTCAGCATTTTTTCCGTTAAATTCATACTTCTATACTTAAAGATTCTTTCTAAAAGAGGTGTTTGGGTCAGAATACGTTATATTGAACTACAATTTAAAAATATTATTTTTACTTTTAATTGCTAATAGGCTATATTTCTTTTTAAAGCAAATATATGTAATAGAATTACTTAAATTATTTAAAAATTATTATTACATATCCAATATAAATATATATATATTACCAGCTCCTATTTTTTTTATTTTATATTTAAATATTATTTAAGGAAAATTTTTGACAATGTCGGCAAAGAATAGATATTTCATTTTGATTCAGTAATTTTTTATTTTTTATAAACTTAGTAATATATAGTTTCTCATGTATGCACAAAGGACATGGGTCATTTAATGACCTACATATTCTAGCTTTTCTTGTTAATTTTATATATGAAGCCGACGAGGCAAAGTGGAATATTTATTAACGACATGTTTCGCCGAGAACGTCTGCTCTCTTCTCTTCGGCTAGAAATGAGGTTAGAATGAAAAAAAGAATTAAAAAGAATGAAAGAAACTGTATGTGAGAAAAATGCCATGTGATCTCTGACCAAAAGCGATGACTATAAATCATATTCCATAACCTGATGGTGCAATGGATAGCGACTCGGATTGAGGAATCGGAGTGCCGAGTTCGAATTCCAGTCAAATCCATTACATTAACTTACGTGCTAATACCTTTGAGAAAGGTATGAATCCTCTTCTTCTCCCCCACAAGCTATGGGTAAATAGCAGGACAGACCGGGTTCTATAGCCTTGGATGGCAACTGGTTTACCACAGAAAGAAATGACAACCTACTGCGGGAAAAAATCTGTCTCGTCACTCAAGTATCGAAAGATGCATGATCGCCTAAGCGTGTATCACGTATGGCAAGTAACTGACTCATTCGTCTATAATTTCCAGACTCAAGATAGTGCCGTTTGGTGTTGCTGGATTTGTATACTTGTACATTTATGTATTGTACACATATAAATGCCTACTCATATATATCTGCGCATACACACACACACACACACACATAAACATTATAGAATCTTTTTATATGTATATTTGTGCAAACATATACATACATACAAGGCTTTTTTCGTCATGTACAGTTTTGTCTTGGTTTCAAGTTTGAAGACGGTCTCGGCGAAACGCGTCGATAATAAATTATCTACTTTGTCTTATCCTCTTCACTTTTGTTTCCGATATTATTAAATATCCTACACACACACACGCACACACACACATGCATCTATACATGGTCGTTGCCAACTTGTGTCCGAGTACGGCCATTACTACATATCTTTTTGGAAAATATCTACAGATATGCTGAACGAATGTAGCACTTTAGCCCAGCAAGGAACCTACATACGCTGGCACAAATAGGGCACTTAAGAGATGCAATAGTGGGTGTTACATTATCATGCAATTTAAAATGTTGCATGAGACCGCTTCTGGACCCGCATGCCTTACCACAAATATCAAATTTCAGTTGCTGAACATCTACGGCTATATAGTCAACTGCCACTCTCCACTGGTGCACCCTCAAGTGACTTCTTAGACCAGCCATTGACAAATACACTCTACCATAATCTGTACACGTCAGATCGAGCTGCCTGCGGGGATCTTCAGGAAGTTCAACGGGGTCGCCTTTACGCACATCTCTTTTAAGCCTTGCGTGCCTCCCCTTCTCCTCCTCAAAGTGACACTTCCACTCCGAGCAGCCTCATTCCAATTATTGCGATGAGAACATACATACATAGATGCATACATACACACACATGCATACATACACACACACATGCATGCATACACACACACACACATGCATACATACACACACAAACATGTTTATAGTTTTGATATTCGTCTTTTAGTATACAATCAAAATATCAATAAGTTCTGTTCTATGCGAGATAAAATTAATAGATAAAAATTGAAATTCCACTTGATTTTTTTTGTTTTTATTTGATGAAAGAAATTTAATTACAAATTTTTTATTTGCCACTTCTACGTTATCGATCTTCGCAGACAAATTGATCGGAAATGGTGGACCAAGAAGAAGACACCTCATTTAACTCCACATATGTTAACTACAATCAGCTTCGTCTGGCACAATACTAAATCCACGTAATTCGGGAATCCAGTGAAACTACCACTCCTATTGGGCGCCTTGCAAACATATGATGCAGCTGAAGAGTCAACTTGAACGACCATCAGAAATTAGGACTCAATGTCTGTTGAATATTAAGAAATCTTTCTCAGACTTCTGTTAGGGAGTTATAGAGCTAAATCCCTAACGTTTGAAGAGCCAGAAATAATTTGGGTGAAGCTGAATTTGACACATGGTCATAATTAACGTTGATTCCTGCTCACATTCATACAATTGCTCTCTGAAATTGTTCAGTTTCCACGCCACTTCACTTTTTGGGATACCTTTATCCTAACCCTTCACTTTTAAGTGTAATGCGGAAGATACAGTCTGGACAGACATTACCTTGGAACTAGTTGCATCCGTTTCAGAGCCGAAAAGGCTACAAATCGATTTTGTTACTCATCATTATATAATACAAGACTCAAAACACCTCAAAGTAGAAGCTTATTGAATGAGGAGCGTGATATGAATGTAAAAGTAGTAACCGTATATGATGAGTACTGCAATTCCCTATGAAATACGCATTTTTTTCTAAAAAAGAATAACAAGCAAAATTAGGGGTGCGTATTATGCATATCTACAAAAAATCTTTAAAAAAATGCCGTTTCATGGGTCGATTTCAATTGTGTTGTGGTAAACCCTCTTGTTAAACCTCCCTTCGTCTTCCGTGTCTTTCTTTCTGGCCCCTAAACAGGCCACACCAACTTGGCAACGAGGATTCGCGCTTCACGCTTCAATTTTTCGTTGCCAGTGTCTACAACAACTTGGCGACGAAGATCTACGAGGATTTGCGTTGACCACCGTGATTTAAAAGGAACTCTCTCAAAATACGAAAAATCGAGTTTTGCGTAAAAGACACGGAAGACAAAGGTAGGTTTAACAAGTGTATTGAAAGAACAGATATATACAAAGCAAGAGTGTTAGTAATAAGCAGATAGAGGTGGACGTCCGAACGGTAGGTTAACACTGCGTCTTGCTCTCTACGGCCGACTCTCGAGGTTAGTATTTATGAGAGGAGGAAGAGTTCGTTCTACTGTAGGAGGGTTTACCACAACAAGTTGCGAAATGACTACTCACCACAAACATACGACAATTTGACATTAACATTCAGCGATTCCGACCACATAAGGATAATAAATACAATCATATGTAATTTAACAATAATTACAAATGTAAGAATTATCATAAAACTAAATTAGAATAATATTATTCTCTGTTAAAAAACATTTTTAAATAAGAGTAGCAAACGCTAGCAGTAATGAAATTGGAGAGGTAGAATTTATAGAGTTTGGTTGCCAATCAAGGGGTGCCTATTATCCACAGCTACAAAAATCCTTAAATAATTACAGTAAAATAAAATAGGAATTTCATAAAACTAAATTAGAATAATATTATTCTTTGTTTAAAACCATTTTTAAATAAGAGTAGGAAACGCTAGCCGTAATTAAATTGAAGAGGTAGAATTTATAGAGTTTGATTGTCAATCAAGGGGTGCGTATTATGTGTGAGGAGAAGCATTTCCTCACACTTTCGGCACAATTTTAAGGGTGCGTATTATGAATGAAGCTGTAATATGCATGGGGAATTACGGTATATAGAGGATAGGTAACGACTGACCCTTGACTTGAAGAAATTATGGTTGTAGCGTCCGGGAATGCATGCACGCGGGTGTCTCTTCCACAAAATGGCTGGGCTACGGGGAAAAACGTTGTCTGAGTGCAATACAGAGAGACTGGGTGTGGTTCAACTCTTCGGTGTAGCAGGGCGGGTTTTAGCTATAAAGATCTGTATTGGTGAATGTAAAGTATCGAATTCGCCCGAACATTTGCCATGGAAATAGTCATAGTATAGTGAAAGTCTTGAGATGTTGCGTCTCTGAGGAAGGGGGCTATAGGGCCGGAAATATGCCATCCTCCACAAGGCCGAATAAACAAATTTGAAAGGACAGTGTGACAGAATGCTTAATCATGCATGTTTTCGTGACTGAAATGGTTATGCCGACGTCCATGAAAGACAGAATTCTGTTGTGTGGAATGCCAATACAAGTCTCCTTGAAAGCTGCATCTTTGACTTCACGCTATTTACTCTAGCGATCGAAGAATTTATTTATCCATTGTGGTGTGATAAAACGTTGTAATAATAAGATAGAGTAAATTTATCTCTACTTGAACAAAAGTTAATCGGCCTACTGGACTGTCAATCTGTCACGTAGATTGTCTCGGCATCCGCGAATTAGATGGTTGAAGACAAGATTAAAGACACTTGTTCCCAAAGACACATTGCCTGTTTCACCGAGGACAACTAAACGGTATTAAAAGAAAGAAACAAAGAAACGAAACGGAAGCTGAAATATAAAAGACTGATATTAACAAAAGAAAGAAACGAAATCTGAAAGTCAAGGACTAATAGTAACATTAGAAAGAAAGAAAGAAAGAAAAAAGAATGTACGAAAGAAAGAAAAAAGGAACGAAACGAAAGAAATAAAAGAAGAAAGACAAAAGACTGTTAATAACAAAAAAAGAAAGAAAGAAAGAAACGAAAGAAATGAAAAAAGAAAGACAAAAGACTGTTAATAACAAAAGAAAGAAAGAAAGAAAGAGAGAGAGAAAGAAAGAATGAAAGAAAGAAAGAAAAAAGAAACGAAAAGAAAGAAATGAAAGAAGAAAGACAAAAGACTGTTAATAACAAAAGAAAGAAAGAAAGAAAGAAAGAAAGAAAGAAAGAAACGAAAGAAACGAAAGAAATGAAAGAAGAAAGAAAGAAACGAAACGAAACGAAAGAAATGAAAGGAGAAAGACAAAAGACTAATAGTAATAAAAGAAAGAAAGAAAGAAACAAACAAACAAACAAACAAAATTAGGAAAAACAAAAAATAAGAAAAATCTAAAAGAACAAAAAATAAAACAAAAACAACAGTCAGAGAATGAAAATGTAGATTTGAAACTGATAAAATTAATAAAATGTAAAGAAAAATAAAAGAAACTAAAAATAAGAAATAGTTTCAAATACAACGGAAAGAAACAGAAAAGAATGATTTGAAATTGAGAAAGAAGAATGAATGATAATAAATAAATAAAAAATGAAAGAAATTAACTCTTCCAAAAAAAGTAAGTGAGAAAGATTTGAAGAAAGCGTAAAAGAAAAAAAATAAATGGATGGGGAATAAAGAGAAAAATATGAAGGAAGAAACTTCGACAAAAAAGATGATTTATAAGTGAGGACAATAAAAGAGAAAGGAAGAAGATCTTAAAAGAAAAAATAATAAAAGAGGAAGAAGTACGCAAACAAAATGGAGAAAGAACAAAAATATCAACGCGATAAAATCTGTATAAAACGAAGTCCCTTCCACACGCTTAAAAATAATTAAGACTAAAAATATGAAGAAACATTACAAAAGGAGACAATAATAGAACCCGCTATCAATAACGAATGGCCTGCACAATTTGTTTACTAAACTTCGGTCTGAAAGCATCACATGAGCTACTGATCATTGGCACACAGAATTAAAGATGTCTTAGTATTGATGAAGCTTACCCTAGTCTGACACAAAGTCTCAAATGTGAAACACTCGGTGAGAATTCACCTCATTGTAATAATATTAGTTTACAAGAATAGATAGCTCACCAATGTCTCATGATTGCACGACCCGAAAAATAATATTATGTTAATTTTGTATATAATTATACAGGTTTAAAAGATGGTAATATGAGCACTGGTAAAATTTTGAGCTGAGATATTAGTTTTATAAGTCCCAAAAATTCATGCACTGGTGTCAAGGAGACATGGCCCAGTTGATAAAGACGTTGGTTATATCTAGTGACTATGATTTTTTTTATGATGGGTTATATCTAGTGACTATGATGTTTTATCGTATAATTATTTTTCGAAATAATTTTTCGAAAGCCGACAGAAAAAATAAATGATGTGCATATCTGTTGTGGCCTGTTTAGGGGCCATAAAGAAAGGCACGGAAGACGAAGGTAGGTTAAACAAGTGTATTACAGTAACAGATAAATAAAAAGCAAGAGTGTTAGTAATAAGCAGTTAGTGTCCGTCCGAACGGTAAGTTAACACTGCGTCTCCTCTACCCTAAGACCTAACAGTCCCCCCACGTGGAATTATCTGGCACAAGGCCGTGTTTAACGTGGATTTCCCATTTGAACCCGCATAAGAGACTGCGTGTCGACTGCCTCAACGCAATCATCAGGCCGATATTTAACAGCCCCCACCATGAGGAATGCATGTGGCACAAGGCCGTGTTTAACGTGGGTTTCTCCGAGGCCGTAGGCTCAGCCAAAAATATCTCCTTTGAACCTGCATAAGCGGGTTCGGGATCTGTCTACCTCCCCGAACGAAACATTGTCTTTCGGCAAAACCTCGTCCGGTTTCCTCTCTGCTCAAGGCAGGGAGTTTGACAGAAGTCGCACACAGTCAGAGACTGCTCAACGACTCTACCCTAGGAAATCTCGCAGTTAGTATTTATGAGAGAAGGAACAGTTCCTTCTACTGTAGGAGGGTTTACCACAATATGAAAGTGTGCAAATATGAGCAAATGGTAATATTTTTTTTAATAACCCTGCTCATCCAATCTTTATTAAAATTCACTAACAATTCTTATTATTAGAGTGGGTTTTGTCCATCACCGCAAGATGCCATAAAACCAAAACCAAAACCTTTAATCTAAGAACTCGAGTCATATTCTTAAATAACCTCCTCAGATCAAGACTTTCATATGGATGCCATGCACCGCACACTACCTATTCATGAACGTCTAAACTCTCAGCTGTATACAACCGTTTTCTCAGGTGAATGATTAAAAAGACTTCGAGCGAATAAACCCAGTAGATCTTAGAAAGAGACATTCTTCATCAGTGAACTGCAGAAACGGAATTAAAAACAGAGGACAGAAACAAATGACAGAAATCACATCATTTGAAAACTTCCAACAGTAGCAACAACTAAACTGGATAGCGCATTTAACACGAAGTGAAAATAACAGCATAATAAAGATGTTGACTTTTCATACTACTCCAAACAAAAGGTTAGAAAGGAAACGCACATCATTAAAAGAAATTACTGAACTTGGGAAACCTATTTCCTGGAAAACTATTTTAATAAAATGATTTTTATAAATTTCAACTGAAATGAGCGCTAGTTACTCGGTAAATGAATGCTGAATGTTTCCTTATAAGGAAACGGCTAATATTATCATTATCAAGTGTTAATACTGTGTGGACATATGTGTGTGTATATCCCACAAGATAATTGGATTTTAGCGGATAAAATTTGTAGGTCTTAGCGAGGAGAATCCTTTTTCGAACCTAGTGGACTGGCGCTACAGAATCAGAAACAAATAACTTTATCAAATAACAGAAACCACGCCACTTGAGGACTCTTAACAGCCTCAGAATCTATAATGGTTAGAACATCGATTAACTCGGAGAAAAAAAATAATATTATCAAGATCTTGACCTTCCACACTACTTCAAACAAAAGGTGAGGAAGGAAATTCCCATCAGTAATGGAAAGTGCGATAACAGTTAGTCGACTTGAGAAACCTATTTTCATGAACAGCTTTTCAGAGAAAGATTTTATAAATTCCAAGCGACAATAAGACTAACTGTTCAGTCAGTGAATGTCAGGCTCATTATTATTATTATCATTCAGAAGCCTTCATCTAAAAGCTTAAAAATGAATGCAAAATAAAAATGACAATGTGTCCGAGAATGGAACCGTAAATGCGTGCCCATGTGTCATTTCATTTTTGGACGAAACCTCGAAGCTTGTCAAAAAAATTCCACCTAAACTATCATTGAATAGAAATAAAATTGGCTGGTCATGTCGGTCAGTGTTTTGCTGAAATCGCCAGATAGGGAAAAAAAAGTGGAAAAGGTGGGAAATGACAGACGATTTAAAGACAATCAAGGAATCTGTCTGACAGATGAAATATAAGCAAATACGGAGATTATATTTTCTAAATTACTAGCCGGACAGACAAAATGGCGGAAGCAAATGGCGTGTTGCTGGAAAAACAAGAAACAAAGAAAGAGACTAAAAGGAAAACAAAATATAGTGAAAGAAAGAAAGAAAGAATGAAAGAAAGAAAGAAAAAAAGAAAGAAAAGGAACGAAAGAAATGAAAGGAGAAAGACAAAAGACTGATAGTAACAAAAGAAAGAAAGAAACAAACCTACAAACAAACTAACAAAAAAAGAAAAGAAAGAAAGAAAGAAAAAGAAAAGAAAATAAAGAAAAATACTAAAAGGAAACGAAAAGATAGTGAAAGGAAGAGATGATTTAAAAGTGAGAAAAGAAAAGACTGTAAAATAAAGAGACAAATAAAAAAGAAAAAAGAAAGAAAGAAAGATGGGGCTAAAATGAAAAGAAGATGGTGAAATAAAGAGAAAATTAAATTAAAGAAAGAAAAAACAGATGGTGTGAGAAACAAGGAACAGACAGTGAATGAAATAAAGAAAGAAACAACAAACGAAAGAAAGAAAGAAAGAAAGAAAGAAAGAAAGAAAGAAAAGGAGAAGACGGTGAAAGAAGTGAAAATTTAAACTAAAGAAAGACAGAAACTAAAGATAAAATAAAGGTGACAAAAGAAACAAACGTAATAAAAGACATCAGAAAGAAGTAGTTGTCGAAAAGCAAGAAAATTTGAGAAATGCAATAAAAGAAACTATTGCTCACATGAGCGGAACAAAAGGTGAAAGAAAGCAGGAAAGAAAGAGAACGAATGAAAAAGGCACAAAGAAAGATGATGCCCAAAGAAAGAAAGAAAGAAAGAAAGAAAGAAAGAAAGAAAGAAATGTTATATCACTGTTTGTTCCCTCACAACAAAAAACAGAATAGTGAAATGCAAAAAATAGAATCGACCACGCATAAAAATTATCAAATAAAACTCGAGTTTAACAACGAGTATAGCAAAAAGACAACTATGAACCCAAAACCGTATGTGTCTCGAGTGAGACACATACTGCAACTCTAAGTTCCACTCAGTATAGTTGCAGCATAAACCGTGGGTTGGCTTTGTGGGTGTTAAAGAAACACAAATGAACCTGAGCATATGGGTCTGCTTGCTGAAGATGAGAAGTCACACTGTGCCTTCAAGTCGAAACAGCTCTGATGATGAAACAAAACTCTAATACTTAAACAATCGTGGCAATATAATGTGTAAAGAAAATATAATGATCGTATAATTTAAACACGCAGACAAGGAATTTTTAGAAGTACATGAGCCTGTCTGCAACTCGGCTAAGATAGCTTCCTATTTCCTCACAGTGAAAATAGTCGATTCTAAAGAGAAAGAAAAGTATAAGACGTTGAATACTGTTTTGCAAAGTAGTCCCAGTAATACATCGAACACTGTTTCTCAAAATAGAGCCAGTTTAAAGGCAAGATTTCAAATGCTGGCCTTTATGTCATGCCAACATGGAACTTGTCAAAATCTATGGCGATCATAGCAGAGAGAAACATACCTTTCTAATAGTAATTAGCGGGAAAATTACATAAAAGTATAAAATTCTTCTAAATACTTAGCATTGTTAGCCAAAATAAAATAAGATGCATTAATTTCGGAGCGCCCCTCGCATATTACAATATTACGAATGTCGGATACATTATTAAAATGGAACTTGTTGCAATGGCAGTTGCCCGTGGGGATTTCTGGCCAGGGTGAAGTTCAAATGATCAATTATTAAATCAAAGTTCGTTCTGTCACGAAACTCCATCGTGTCAATAAATCCAGTCAGAAAAGAACAAACTTTGTTCGTAAAATGCTTAAATGACATATGTTTTCTGATCGTTGCCTTACAATAGGGACTCTTATCTGTCTACAAGATTTTAGCTCTGTGTCTTCATATAGATATAAGCATGAATAGACTGATATTAATACAAAGATATCGACAGGCTTAGCTTGCTATCTATCTATATATCTATCTAGCTAGCTAGATAGATAGACAGATAGATAGATAGATAGATAGATAGATAGATAGATAGATAGATAGATAGATAGATAGATAAGTATAAATTTAATTACATTGATATGAAATAAGGTAATTTGATATACATATTGAGGTAAATAATCTGACATATGAACTCAATTAGATATGAACAGATTAAATTAGATACATAGACATGAACAGACTAACTTATATAGATAATGAGGTAGAATTAAACAGAGTGAGATAGATAGATAGATAGATAGATAGATAGATAGATAGATAGATAGATAGATAGATAGATAGATAATGATCAGACTGAGAGAGAGAGAGAGAGAGATAGATAGATAGATAGATAGATAGATAGATAGATAGATAGATAGATAGATAGATAGATAAAACAAATTACAGTGATATGAATTAAGGTACATTTTTAAACATATTGAGGTAAACAATCTGAGATATTAACTTAATTATATATTAACAGATTAAATTAGATAGACACGAACTGACTGAATTAGATAATAAGATAGAATTAGATCGACATAATGAGATAGATAGATAGATAGATAGATAGATAGATAGATAGATAGATAGATAGATAGATAGATAGATAGATAACAATAAAATTAATTACAGTGATATGAAATAAGGTACTTTGATAAGCATATTGAGGTAAATAGTCTGCGATATGAACTCAGATATGAACAGATTAAATTAGATAGACATGAACAGACTGAATTAGATAATGTAAGTATTTGGGCCTTAAATGACAGATAGATAGATAGATAGATAGATAGATAGATAGATAGATAGATAGATAGATAGATAGATAGATAGATAGATGTGATTTAATAGAAAAATAATTACAGACTAAAATAGCTAAATACGTAGATAAGTACGAAATAAGATTGATCGACAGTTATAAGTTTGGGGACCAAGTCTGTGGAAAGAAAGAAAGAAAGAAAGAAAAGAAAGTGAGAAAAAAAGGAAGAAAGAAAGAAGAAACATGTTTCTAAGAAAGAACACAAGTAAGGTAAATAGAAAGAAAGTATGTTTCAAAGAAAGAAAGAACGAAAGAAAGAAAGAAACAAACAAACAAACAAATAAGAAAGGAAGAAAGTAGGTATGTCTCTAAGAAGGAAAGAAAGAAAGAAAAATACTTTCCTAAATGTTTCTAGACAAAGTGAACCAAAACAAAAAAAAAATATGAAAAAGTCATTGTCCAAAGAAAGAAAAAAAAAAAAGAAAGAACACGTTGCTCACAAAGAAACAAAGAACACATTTCAAAGACAGAAATAAATTAATAGCCAAAAACACTTTATTGCAAGCAAAAACAGCAGCCAAAATCTTTGGAGGACTTTTTCTAACGTATGTCACCTCACCCGCCTCTCCGCTGTTCGTCTCTTTGCTTGCCTTGTCTTCTAGTTCTGTAAGTATTTAGGCCTTAAGTATAACCGCCATTCTCCCTTCGTTTTCCTGCCTCTTGGTTTATTCCACCTCATCCATTGTCCAGTTTTGCTTGGTCTGCTTTCATTGATCGTTGTTCTTTATTCAAAATAATCCATCAGTCCGAGTGAGCACGACCGTCGATTGGATGAACACAGAAGAAATTAGGTGGGAAAAGGGGAGAGACAAAAGGTGAGCGACTTAAAAAAAAAAAAAGAAAACAGAAAGAAAAATGTCTGGAAGAAAAGGAATTAAAGCCTTTTTAGAAAAAGGAAGAGAAAATTAATTGGAAGATAAAGATGAATGAAATGAAGGGGAGGAAAGAGGTTTCTAACAAAATTAATACACAAAGAATAAATAATTAACAATGAATAAAGAAATCGAAGGAAAATAATAATAGACAAAATTAAAGACACAATGGCTGCATAAAGGGAAAATTACTCCTGCGTAATGAAGATAAGCTACTCCGGAAGTGAAACCTCTGATCGGGAGATTGGAGGTTTTGAGAACCGTGAAACTACCTCTTATTTTTTTTAAAGTATTTCACCCCAAACAAGGTGGGAGTGACACTAGTACGCAAGGGGTTACAGAGAGTGAAAGTAAGGGAAAAGACTGGGTATAGGGGGGGGATTGTAGAAAGAATAAAAATAAGGACGAAGATCAGGACATCAGAAGATGTCGATTGGCAGTACATTTAAATTTTTGAAGATTATAGTTATCAGGGAAGCAAGTCAGAGGAAGGGCGTTTCACTATCGAGAAATGCAAGAGAAGAAGCTGTGAACTTACAAGGTGCTACCACCCCGGGGATCAGGATAGACCTGGGAACAACAGCAATCCAAAGAGTGATATGCATTGTGATCGGTCCTGACTTGGGGGTCTCGATTCCAGTCACTTTCTCACCGACGTAATATGACTTCCCTCTGCCTTTTCTATAAATATTTTCATGGCATTTGTTCTGACGAACTATTTTTACTGATGCCCCGACTGCATAAATTTAACCCTGCTACTAGTTTGGCATCTCATTGCCACCCTTTTACTGTCGAAACAGTTAAATCTAACTGCCTCTTCTACTGTCATTCTTGCCTTTAATCTATCCTGTAAACATCAAATTTTCCAAGCCTTCTTTCCTCGTTATGTACCATATAAATTTTACATGTCTCTACCTGATGTTAAATATAAGTGTCCTTTTTATGTCCATTTTCTCTAAACCTTCATCGTTGCTCACATGTTCAGTCCATGGTATTCTCGGCATCCTTTTGTGAAACCACTCTTCTGTTTCTCCAAGTCTCTTCTTCATCTGTGAGTAAATTGTTTTGCATTCACTGCTACATAATAGGATGGATATTACATAATATTTCAGTACTCATTTCTTTGGTGCTAACGATTTTTTTTTGTTTCTTAATACCTTTCATAACTTTTGGAAGACATCTTTTGCTATCCCAACGTGCCTTCGGATTTCAGTATAGCACTTTCCGTTCTCTTTTAGAACGCTTCCCAGATATTTAAATTGTTGTATTTGTTTAATTTTGGTATCTTCAATTTGTAATTTGCATGTTGGCAATGGTTAACTTCACTGACAAGAAACAGTTCTTATTTTTCTAATCATTCATTCAAAAGAGCAAATTCCTTATATTTTTAAATTTTATTTTTTTATATTTTTATATTTTTTTGCGTACTGTTTTCTAGGACTGGGAAATTCGTAATAAAGAATTCTCTTTGAAACCTATCAAATAAAGAAAATTATTATTTTTTTTTTGCTGTAGATTCTGTTTATCTTCAGATTTTAAAGGCTCTTCGATTTTTTTTTCATTTTGATTCTACGTATAAATACTTTTTTGTCCATCGAAAAATGCCTATATTATTCGGAGATGGTTTTTTCTGTATGTGACAAGATGAACATGACTAAACAAAGAAAAGACTGTTGAACTGTTATTTCATATCAATACACCAATATAGCATTGAATGTTGAACAGTTTCTTCTCTATTCTATAGAATACTCTAGTCGTATCAAGTAACAAAGAAGCTCTTTGTATTTGACCTCTAACTCCAGTTTATTATGTCTTACTCACTAACAACTTGAATCTTTCAATTTGGTTTAAAAAGACCTTCGACTTCTGCCTCAGGAATGATTCTCTAAAATAACAAAATGTTGTAATGTATCGAAAGAGATGGATTCATATCTTTCCGAAGGGAAAAGATATTGCTGTCATTTTTTTATTGTATAGATAAATTAGTTCAGGACAAATCCCAATCAAATAAGTCTTCATGATGTTTTATAATTACAATGACGTTTTTTATAGAATCCAATTATTTAAAATCTGCAATACCCACACTGCTCGATAGTTTTTTGTTTTTTTTTTTGAGTGAGTAAATCATTTAGATTTTAACGTGAGCCATTGTTCTTCGAACCTCGTTGGACTGGTACTACAGAATTGCAAAGAACTGAACCAAATAACAAAGACCACATCACACGAAGACTTTCAACAAGAGCAACAACTCAAATGGATTACGCATGCGATTTGAAGAGAAAATACTGGCATAATCAAAATGTTGACGTTCCACACTACTTCGAACAAAAGATTAGGAAGGAAACCGCTATGAATATTGGAAAGAGTGATAACAGTTAAGGAAGCTGAAAAGTCTATTTTCCTGAGAAAATTCTTTTAACGGAAAGATTTTATGTATTTCAACGGAAAGTATACTGACTGCTAGGTCAATGAATGCCAAATGTTTCCCTATAAGGAAACGGCTAATATTACCATTACCGTTGCCTAGTACACCGAAAACTGATATATCAGCAATATACCAACTATTTTAACAGGAAACAGAAGGCAGCAGAGATGTGATTCTACAGAAGACGACCCAGAATACCATAGTCGGAATATGTGAGCAATGAGGAAGCTTTAATGAAAATGTGAGCAAAAATTACACTTCTACGTTGGATCAGTTGAAATTTATGGGGCACATAATGAGGAAAGACGGCTTGGAGAAATTGACACTCACAAGGCATCAGGTAACATACTTAAGGAGTTTAGATAAATTCAATGCAGAACAGGGGTTGGGAAGGATGCCAATGGAATAGTGTATATACCGTATATAAGACTACTTCATGTATAGTGAAACCCTTTAGTTTATTTTTGGGGAAATCCTGATTTCATTCATTCAACTCGTGTATAAATCGACCCTCAGCTTCTGAGCAATACCTGTCGGCCTATCGTGCTCAAATATTGCAGTATTGGGCATCATTATGGACATATAGCAATAGAAAGAAAAAAAATTATGCTACGGGAGGCAGACTAAAGGAGCTTACCTATACCGTTAAGCCGAAGGTACCACGAAAATGTAGACCTACCAGGCAAGTTACGGCCATCGAAAATACATGAAATTTAAATCCCTCGCTCCGCTAAAAGACGAGAATGATATGGTGATTAGGTTTGGGTTTGTGAATTGTTGTAAGTACACCAATTCTGAAGTGGAAATATTTTGTAATTCATCTGGTGTTTTAGAGTTAAAACTTCAAATGTCCGTCTACTTTTTTTTTTTTTTTTATAAAAGATTTTACTAACATGAGATTATTACATTAAAACGTTGTTGTTACAAAGTGGTTGCTCAACTAAGTGCTAGCCAGCCTGAACGCTGCTTTGATCTCTGGAGGAATGGGGCTTTCAACCTGACCTAGATAGATAGATAGATAGATAGATAGATAGATAGATAGATAGATATAAACAGACTTAGAAATGATCTGTGATAGATAGATAGATAGATAGATAGATAGATAGATAGATAGATAGATATGAACAAACCGAGATAGAACTGAAATAGCTAGATAGCTAGATAGATAGATAGATAGATAGATAGATAGATAGATAGATTGTTGTAAAGGGAATCTAGGTGAGTATTATGATGAGGAGTTATATAGACATCGGTTGATCCGAGACTTATGGAACTTGCTTTTTATTAAGTGACACAAAAGGAATACGTATGATTTGCCACCTTGAACTTGACTTGGCTAGTCCTAGATTTTATAGCCTGCGATGGTGACACCAAGGAATGTAATTCGTTTGAACGTCTGCCATTGTAATAACAATATAGTAGTGAAAGGCTGACAACATTTCTTTTGTGAGATAAAGATTGCAGGGTGGAGAATAATTCATCACCCTCAAGGCCGCGTAAGCGATTTTGAACTCTAAAGGACGGACAGTTAAGAATGCGGGTTAGAGTGATAATGAACGTTGATAGATATATAGATTAAAAAGCGTAGTTATTTTGTATTGAGCTGGTGCATAATTATCAGGCGTTTTTCCAGGCGAGTTTTTTGTTAATAAAAATTGCTGTTTTGTTTACTTTTTTTTAATAAAATTATTATATTTTGTATTATTTTATTTTCATGTTATAAAAATGCGTGCGATAATCATATTTAAAAGTGTAATTGTTGAATTTTTATGTTTCTTTTTTCATAATAAATGTTGTTTTAAAGAAAAAAAGCCTGATAATTATGCACCAACCCAATATATCTATATATGTGCGTAAACTCATTCGCCTTTGCTGCCACAGTTATTGT